CACCAAGACTCTTATCGAACCCCTAAGAATACTCACTTAAATCCATCTAACACTCATGGGCATATATGCTCATACTACTAACCTTGGTTTTATATTAACCTACCCTCATATGACAAGTACTTACTTACCACGGCTCTTATCGAACCCCTAAGGATACTCACTTACAACCATCTAACACTCACGAGCATATCATGCTCTTACTACTAACCTTGGTTTTCCATTCAACCTACCCTCATATAATTACGGAGGTGGACTACCCATACTTAGTTATGCATTGGTGACCTATACTACTCATCACAACAAAAACAATATTTCTTCCTTGTACAAAGTCAAGTAGTTGATAGGAAAATATTTCTCTATGAAAGGTCTAGGAGAGGTTGTATATATATTGGGTATTAAGATATATAGAGACAGGTTAAAGAGACTAATTAGGCTGAGTCAAAGTACTTATATAGAAAAAAATAATTAAACTGTTCGAGCTAGACGAATCTAAAAAAGATTTATCCCTGTGTCACATGGTATACAATTGTGTAAGACTTAATGTCCTCGTCTTATAGTTGAACAGGAAAAGATGAGTAGGATTTCATATGCTTTTGTTGTTGGACCTATAATGTATGTTATGTAATGTACTAGACATGATGTATCTTATGCTTTACGAGTGACAAGTAGATACCGGTATAAGAACATTAGATGGATATGGAAATGATTCTTATATCCAAAAACCTCATCTTTGTTAACTTTAAGATTGAACGGAGTGCGACTCGCTAAGGGCTCACCTTGGATGTGTCATCCTCGCCAACACCGCCTCTTGGCGCGCGCCAAGGGGGCTCACCTCCTTGTACATCTCGTCGGTGGTGTAACGTGAAGATATATATATATATATATATATATATATATATATATATATATATATATATATATATATATATATATATATATATATATATATGTAGAGAGAGAGAGAGAGAGAAGAGAGAGGAGTTAATTGGTTTTTGCTACTTTTGACCTAAATTGAAGAGCATTTGACCAATTTTTTTTAAAAAGATTCTCTTATTTTTTTAAAAACTAGCTTTTGTATAAAATATCAATTTTTTTAAAACCACTATAAATACACACTCAATCTCAATATTTTATTACACACTCTCTCATTCTTTCTCTCATAATCTCTCTACTTCCAATTCCACCATGTCTTCCTCAAAACAAGCCAAAACCCCAAAAAGAAAGAAGAAAAATTCTTCAAAATCCAACAACACGCCTTCACCAAATCCTTCACTAAACCCTACATCACAAAACCTTTCACTAAACCCTACATCATCTATACCTTATAGACCCTCATTCAATCAACCTCTCTACCCACCCGCAAATTACCATTTTGCGGGCATGGCTCCAAGTATATATCAATATCCTCAATACATACTAATTCCACAACAAAACCTCCAACAACAAAACCTTTTCCAAACTGAAAACACCACCCAAACCAAACCCGCCTTTAACCCGTTTGAGACGGTTGCTGAATGTGGGACACCAAAATCGACAAAATTTTGGAGATGGATGAATCAAACAAAAAACTAAAGCACTAAAACTCTTCTTGCAAGACAATAATAAGTTGTCCGAGTCGATTCGTCGGATTGTGGAAAATGCAAAGGCGGATCTTGTCAAAAAATTTAATTGGGATAAGAATGTTTGAAGTTAGTTATTAAGTCTTGTATTAAGTTAAGTTTTAAATCATTTATGCTGTAAGTCAAGTATTTTAATATTAATATGTTTGTATTTTTAAAAATTAATAGTTGTTAAAAAATTAAACAAAATTTTTAAAAAAAATGATGTGGCATGCTAAGGCACACTATCACTCCTTAATATGATGTCATGCTTAGTTGGCATGCAAAAAAGCTGATGTGACATGTGTGCATCCACATTCCACACCACCACTCTCTCTGGTCTAAGGGGGGTGTTTGAGATTACTTTTTAAGCCTAAAAGTTCTTTTTGTAAAAGTTCTTTTGAGGAAACAAAAGCTAAAAGTGAGTTTTAAAAAGTGTTTGGGTAGTATTTTTTGAATTTTGAGTGTGATTTAGCTTTAAAAGTCCAAAAGTCACAAAAAGTCACACTTTCTTGACTTTTGAAAACTCACTCTTTTCTTCTTTACAAAAAGTTATTTTGAAAAGAACTTTTGCATCTTCCAAACATATTTATAACTTTTTAGAAAAGTTAAAAGCAAAAGTCATTTAGAAAGTATTCCCAAACACCCTCTAAATAAGGCTTAAAAAACTTGATAAGAACTTTATTAAGAGCTTGACATAGTTTAAATATTAAACTTGTTTTTTTAGAATAATTTTGGATTTTTGAATTCAAATTACATACCCAAGTGTTCTCCAATAAGATAAAAAAAAATACAAAACAATAAAAAAAGGGAAATTTTATACGTACCCAATTGCTTTGTGTATCCCCTCTTTGCGAGTGTAATAGTGTGTGTGTACGTTGGCCTGCAAAAAAGCTGATGTGGCATGTGTGCATCCACATTCCACACCACCACTCCCTCTAGTCTAAATAAAGCTTAAAAAACTTGATAAAAACTTGACTAAGAGCTTGACATAGTTTTAAATATTAAACTTGTTTTTTTAGTGTCATAGCTTAGTTAGCATGCAAAAAAGTTGATGTGGCATGTGTGCATCCACATTCCACACCACCACTATCTTTAGTCTAAATAAGGCTTAAAAAACTTGATAAAAACTTAACTAAGAGCTTGCCATAGTTTTAAATATTAAACTTGTTTTTTAAAAAGAATTTTGGATTTCGAATTCAAATTGTATACCCAAGTGTTCTCTAATAAAAGATAAAAAAAACATAAATACAAAACAATAAAAAAGAGAAATTCTATACGTACCCCTTAATTGTTTTGTGTACCCATTTATGAGTGTAATAGTGTATGTGTATCCTCATGATGTGACGATTTATGTGAATGAGGGGTACGTATATCAACACCCTAAAAACATTGTCTTATACATATGATTTTTAAAGTCTTTCGAAATTAATTCTCATATTACTTTATAGGGTTGGCACATGAATGCGACAAGATACATATGAACCTACAACATCAAATGATAGATGGCCCATTAGACCCCACCAATGTCCCTTTTAAGAAACATCTACTTATGAATTTCGTCTAAAATAGGTTTTAATAGTTTGACAATTGGCATAGTTAAGCCCGACTGAAAGAGTCTGTCACCAAAATATCTGGTTGGATAAAGATCGATATGTAATACTTGTATTTATCTTTTAACCTTTTTGGTTCTTGTAGATAATAAAAAATCAAAACACTTGGAGACTTACAATTTAATTCTTTATAACCTTTATTGTGAAATTAACTTGTAAATGATCTTTCTTAGACTTTAGATTATAAGACAATGGATAAGCATAAGAAGCAGTGGCGAGGCTATTTGATACCATGGTGGGTCACTTGACCTTTTTTTTTATTTTTTAATAATAAGTTATAAAACTTAAAATTTGTGACCTATCTAAAAATTTTTAAATGAACCACCTTAATATTTTGGCAAAGACAAATGTATAAATCAGATTTTTAAAGCTCACATTCTATACTTTAATAGCCCAATATTTTTTAAGATATAATCCAATATTTATAGCCCACTACAAGTTAAACTAAAAAATAATAATAATAAACGTGAACCATGAATCAGCAAGGTCGTTTCATTGCACATGACGCTTCAACCCTTCACAGTCGTCGATCCAATTTTGCCTATGAGCTTTTTGCAACCGGCAATAAGTTATTCTACTTTGTTAACTTTATGAGCTTAAATAAAAAATGTGTAAGTTCTACTTTCAATTCCATGAACATTATATTTTAATCGTGGACCACAATCATGAATTAATGATAGTAATTTAGTTCAATGTAGGCGGTAAGTTTAATTGCATTCTATCACTGTTGGTTTTTTTGTTTGAATTATTGCTTGTTAATACTTATTCAATGAGCATCAAAACTATTGAATGTTTGTTAATACTTAATAGTGATTTTTTTTTCACTTTTTTGATTGTTCCATGATTCCACGATAAGTTTTTTATGTTTCAAACTTTCACTATTATAAAGTATTAGTAATGATATAAGTGTGACGATATATCAAGATATAAGACATCGTCGGGTACAATTGTAAGAATTATTTTTTTTTGCTACATTTCGACTCGATCCGAACCCGCAACTAATATTTTTGATTTTTTTTTTAAATTTTTTTATCGGTTTTATTAAAATAGTGAACCATGTGGTTTACATTCTAGACTTACCACTGATAAGGAGTTGGGAGTTTATTCATGATCAAATCAGATAAAACGAATCCTCATTGCAAATAAATTGATTATATTTCTAAATTACATAAAATTTTTGTATTTGTTGTTTGTTATAATATATTTAACAAATAATTCAATGACTTTCTAGAAACATCATTTATTTATTTGCATATTAAAACATCTTATTTTGATTTCTATAGATGACAAATTACGTAAAAGCTATTATATTTTGACAGTGGTTTAATAATTACATTTCATTTTCATCAATGAATGTCGATCAAGTTTGACTTTTGATAAATTTTTATTATGACTACTCTAAACTTCTTTAACATATCAAAATGGTGGATATAGAAAAATATGTTATTCTGATATATATTTGGTCAAACCACAAAAATAACCAAAATATAAATACTCTTATGTATTTAGCCCTTCTTTGAATCACACCATTATACTTTCAATGTTTCTTATCAAAGACATTGTATTTTCAAAAGGCTACACAATTAGCATTGCAATTTCAATTTTTTTTTTATTAGTAGTTGTATTCTAAAATATCTATCCAATTATTACAATGAAAATAGCTTTCAACTTGGATGACATGGCTTATAACAAGAATGAAAGCAAAATGCTAGAACAAACAAATCAATGAACGTAAGTTGCTATTTCTACATTTAACCCATTTTCTTAAACTAAATATAAAATCAAACATCACCGATTTAGCGAAAACCCGTTATACATTACCAAAACCATTTAAAAATATACATTCTTGATCTCACCTCACTAATTATGTATAAATAATACATCCTACTTACAAAAAGGTTACTTTAGCAAATCAAAAAAGTTGCTTCTAACCTCCCCCATTAAAATCTATTCAAAATCTTCATTTAGGGCAAATGAGCACAGAATCCACACACAGTCCACCTTTAGTGTGTGTACAATCAATTTGTGTCATTGAAAACTTGATCTTCATTGGCACTTCTGAATCCTCAACAACAAAATCACCAACTGGATAAACATTCCATTTTCCAGGATCAGTCAAATAGCATGAAGTTGTTGCCTTTTGACCATCTGAAGTTGACAGCTGGAATTTGACCGGTTTTATATCCCAGCCATGGACTTGATCGGAGTTGCAGACCCGCCGCCCGAACCGCCTGCCCGACCGCCCGAGTTGCAGGCGGAAGAGGAGGGTGTAGCTGCCCGGAGGGAAAGGGAACTCCACCTCCCCATCAACTTCAAACCACCATATTTGATGGAGATAAGCCACCGATCGAAATCTACACAAATGTTTTTAAGATAAGATGAAGATAGTGGCAAAATAGTCATTTTACTTGGTGTATAGGATGAAGTGATGAACTCTTGAGTGAAGGACTACTTGTGCTAATAATCAAACATGTGGACTAAAGCCATGACTTTTTAGAAAGTTGAGGGATAAAGATGATATCTTTGATTAAAGACATCAGAAACCTCACCTTGATTCTTCTGTAGAAATCCAACTCCAGTATCGACGATCATCGATGCCTGTTATTGCTAATCCATTTGAAGATATCAACACACAAGCCTTTCCTGTACCCTTATCTAACCAAACTTTCTGCAAAAGAATTCCCAATTCCCAAATCATATCAACTGATTTCATGTAAAAACCCAAAAATCTATTTTGAAAAAAGAATACCCTTCTAGATTCTTGAACAACCAAGATTACAAACAAGAAAAAGAAGAGGAACGTAATCAAACTCTTGAATTTTGTGGTTTGTAGTTTGTAATACTTGTTACATACAATTCAACTACTTTTGTTTCAAGATCTTTGTGTTTCTCACAAACCTTGATCACCAATCAACATAAACCCTTCAAATAAGAATTTGTTGTTCTGTTCATCCCCAAATCTAAATAAAGGCACAAAGCAACATAATTTCTTTTGTTTTCATTCACAAACCCATAATCAGATTATCGAATAGAAGACTTGTGGATCAAACTTTGTTGTTTATCACAAACCAAAATCAAAAACAAACTTTGAAAGCGACATGTCGTATTCTAATTACATTCAAGAACACGGAGATAGATGTATAATTAAGGAGAGGAAATGGGAAATTTTTGTGTATCGAACCTTTGTGCCGCCATCAATGGAACTAGGCGCAGATAACCTCGCGTAAATTTCTTTTTTACAGAGAGTCGAAGAGAAATTATTATTATCAAATACCCTCGATATAAACAAATCATAGTTCTTCGGCAGTTTTGATTCCCACACAAATTCAGCCGATGACGCATAACGAAAAGCACGGTTGAGAGATGCGAGTTTACAGATCTCTTGTGGGTTTAAGTAAACAAGAACAGAACCCACCACACTCTCCGGCAAATCACCTAGACCTGGCTCCGACGGCATCACCGGAGCAGAGGTGGTGCTGTTGCACATAAGAAGAAAAGATGAAAAGCCAGATCCCATAAGCAGAAACCCAACTTCTAGATGAATTGAATTTAATGGGTTTCGGTGGTTCGATTAGAAATTGATCGAAATTTGGGGCAAATTCCGGTGGATTTTGGGAGAGAAAGCGAATGGGGATGAATAAAGGAAGTGTAGTTATTTAATTGGCTTTATTTATGGAGAGATACATTTTATAATTGAGCAAACTACAAATTTAGTCCCTCAATTTTTACTAACATGCATATGTATCTGGGACAATAACCGGTATAGACATTATTTGGGGTTGAACTCCAAAATATAGATACAAAAAATTAAATTTCCGGGTAGAGATATAGATTCCGTGGAGGTAACTCAGCGGAATGGTAAAATCGTAAATAAATAAGGAAATTAAAAAAAAAAAAAAACTCAAGATCCATACCGCGGAGCTACAGTGAATTTCACAGAGCTTCGCGGAGGTAGTTCCGAAGAATGAATCTTCAGAAAGAAAAAAAATCATCTCCATTGATTCTTTTATGTAAAGATCTCCAATTAAAGACCAATTTCTTTTCCACCTCACATTCATTCCAAACATTATCAAGAAAAAATTCATACTATCATAATTTTTTTTGAAAATAATTAGTTGGGAATGAATATAAACCCCAAAGAATCGATTTGAAAAAAAAAATCTGAAGATCCATTCCTCAGAGCTACCTCCGCGGAATGAGTTCATTCCTCGGAGGTAGCTCTGCGGAATGGATCTTGATTTTTTTTTAATTCCTTCATTTATTTACGATTTTCCATTCCGCGGAGCTACCTTCGCAGAATCCATGTCTATACCAGGAAATTCAATTTTTTGTGTCTATATTTTGGAATTCAACCACAAATAATGTCTATACCCGGTATTTTCCCTATGTATCTGCGTTGAGAAGATTTTTTTAGATTGTGTTTGTTTTGAAAGATGTAAAAGATTTTTTATACTTGTTATGATTAATTAATTTAAAAATTATATTCACTTAATATTTTAATTTATATCATTGTAATTCATAAAATATAAAATATTATTTTTTAAGGGTAACAATATAATTTTTTTTATATAATATTACTTTTAACTATTGTTGTTGTCAAAGTTGTAAAACTCGCTACTCGGTACTCGTTCGGCCGACTGCCGAGTAGCGAGTACTCGAGAGTACTTAGATTCGGTAATTCATGTAGAAATATCTTTAGGAAAATTATATATATATATATAACAAAACTAGATAAATGTGAATACACAAAAACTGAAATACACACAATGGTCTTAATTCATGAATAATTACTAAAAATTAAGATATATATGTTGTAATAATCACATGTGTGTTTTAAATAATAAATCATTAAGTGTATTATACATATTAATCTTGAAATTCTTGATTTTTTTTTCTCTATTTAAGACAATTTTGACCCTTTGAGCTAGTTTGACCGAGTTGGCCGAGTTTGAGCGAGTTTGACCGAGTTGGCCGAGCACTCGGCCGAGTTGACCGATTTGGTCAGAGTTTTACCGATTTTGATCAATTTCCGAGTTATTTGGCTGAGTTGACTAAACTCGCCTTAGTAAGAGTCGGAGTCTGGGTACTCTCTTGAGTTGGCCGAGTTTTACAACACTGGTTGTTGTGCGTTTTTTAATCTATTATTTGGAAACTCTTAATGAATGTAAAAATAGTTTTATAAATACTTAAATCAATTTGGGATTATTATTTAGGGTTTACATTTAACACTACAATTTATAAATTTTAACTATTTACAAAATAATCTTTGGATTTTGTATTAAGTTCAACTGAAATTTCAATTTAAGTTAACCCTTTAACGTTATATTTAAATTAATAATTTAAATATTTTATACAAAATCCAAAAATTGTGACTTTAATATGATAATGATTCACATACAACAAGATATCAAAACTAATAAGTTAAGTATAATATGTTAGAAGTTAAAGACATAATTTTATAGGTAGAATTAAATGTGTTATTTTAATATTAAATTTTAGTTAATTTAGGATTATAACTTAGGTTTTTCCACTTATTTAATATTATTAAGTAATTTATAATCATTATTAGAAATAAATTAAAAAGTCACGAGAGTTTCAAATGTATGTGGTGAAAAAAATGTCTATTTTATAGTATATTATAGATTATAATAGATTATAAATATAGATTAGATTATATATATATATATCTATATATATATATATCTATATATATATATATATATATATATATATTAATTATAGACTATAGATAGATATTATAGATTATAGATATAAATATAGATAGATATAATACTATAATATATGATTATGTATGTTTAATTTCGCCCTAGCCCAAGTTTATATATTGTACAATAAAGAGCATATATTTTGTATGAGAAAATAATTGTTGTCATAGTATAAAGTAAATCATGTAATTTTATCGTAAAATATTTATTATTATTATCATCATCTTCTTCTTCTTCTTGCAATGGCAGGGGCTTCGAGACACGATTGACATAGTTAAATTGTCTCCTACTTCAAATAGGTGGGTTTGGTCTCTATTAGCGACATGTGAGTTTTCAAAGGCTTCGTTTCGCTTGTTTATAAATTCTCAGTTACTTCCTTCTTCCATGGTTACTTCCTCCTTCCATTACTCCTACTCGTTTGATTCGGTTGGTTCCTATCAAGGACAATTGTTACGTAGCGTTTGGTTGTGGATAGGTTGCCAGCTAGGGTGATGACTTCATTTGTATGGATATTTCGTTTGTACCCTATTTGAGATGTGGCTCTAGAATCTGTCATTCATTTTTTTTTGTGTGTGCTATGAGAAAAGAACCTTTGATACATGTTGGTAGATGGTGGAGTTTGACGATCCTGAATTTTCATTTGTATGTTGATTGGTTATCTTGGTTCGCTGTTTTACGTTTACAAGGACTCGTGAAGAAATATTTGGAAACAATTTTTTACTTGATGTGGTGACATGTTTGGGCCTTTAGGAATGCCCGGTTGTTTGCAACTACAAAACCGAGGGTAGCAGGCCTTTTTGATAAAATTGATACCCAATTTTTCCTATGGTGTAATACAAGAAATGTAAAGGACATTAGTCACTGGCGGACCCAGGGGTTCCTAGGGTCCCGAACCACTACTCAATTTTAGCTTCAAAGTGTAAAAATGTGTAAAAAAAAATTCTATTTTTTTCTTTTAAGTTGCAACCACTAAAAAATATATGCAACTATTAATATATGTCGATTTTTTTTGTGCCACTACTGCTGTAAACTTCTCCGTCTGCGACTGACATTAGTTGAGTTGCTAAAACCTTTTTATCAAACACCTTGAAGACAACTAATCAATCACTATTGATGACAACATATCATATCTCAACAAAAGGAATACACGTATGTTCTTGGTTAAGGTCTATCTCAATCAGAGGATAAAATGGTGGGGGCAATTGTTCATTTTACAAACAATGATCAATCTAAGATCGTTGGACAAAACCATCAGATACCGATAAGAATCATGGATGCTTATCAAATCTTGGAAGGAGATGAGATATTCTTTTGTTGTAATTGTACCAGGAGTATTAAGAAAACTATGCAAGCTGATAAAAATTTCAACGAAAATCATGAATAATTTAAATAGTTGATTAAATATTATAAATGGTTGGCAGAATTAATAAAGTCGGTTTCCCTTTTTTTTTTTTTTTTTTTTTTTTCTTTTCTTGTTTTATATTCAGAATGTTTATATAACCTACTTTAATTATTAGGAAAAAGTTGGCTGCAATACAATACTGTATAATATATTTAATTAGTAAATTTAAGTTAGATGGCTACAAAGAACAGAATATTATTCTCAAAAGTATGAGATAATATTATATAAGTGTTTCTCTCCCTCAAGACTTCTACAACTACTTTTGTCATGTGCTTGTTATTCCCAAATTTAGAACTCAGTGAGCTATTTGTAGATTTTGAAGGTGGGATGAGTTGAGCTAAGCTTAAAATGGATATGTATTTTATTTTAAATTTAACTTGACAAGTTGAAAGGTTTTATTAATGTTGTGTCATATTTAGGCCGGAGAAGGTTTGAGCATGCTATAAAAAGTTTGAGTATCAAGAAAACACATGTCCCTATTTATTTATTTATTTATTTATTTTTTATTTTTTTTTGGAACACTTAGCATACATACCTTCGAAGTCATAGGTTATTGGTTCAATCCATTTCTCTAAATCTCTAAATTATATTTAAATTGGTTAAATGAATTGCATATTTTTTAGAACAGCTAATACATACTTATCTTAATCCTAAATCTATAAATTTATTTATTGCGAAACTCAAATCTTCAACCTTGATGGTCACCTTTCGAGCATATATATAATAACGTTGGACTAGACGTCTTTTAATGAATGAATTATATATACAATCAACTTTGGTTCATTTCTCTAAAATGCAAATACCAACAACAATGATAAACCAATTATTTGAACAAGTTAAAAGTACAATACACTATGATAGTTTATAAAAAAGTATATTATATAACGATCTTAATGTTAGTAAATATTTTAATGATTACAATTATGGATAGTCTTTATACAAAAATACTAATATTAATAGTGATACTGTCACAGCCCCAAACCAGATGGCGGAAACGTCCGGGGGTGGATGACTTTATTTGTAGTATCACAACACATACAATATAGTAATCAAAGTACAAACAACCAATGTATTTAAAAAGTATAAGTATTTACATGTGTTTCATCATTGTATATATTGAAACCAAAATAGTTATACACAAGAAGACAAGACTCAAAATAGCTCCATCTTCTCAAAAGCTCGGGGAGTACATGTCTACTGGTTCCCTGAGAATACAAGTAATTTGAAAAGAGAGTATCAACATAAAGTTGAGTGATTGCATAAGTATTTATGTTTGAAAGTATATTTCTGTTTCTTGAATATGTATACTGTTCCAGAAAATTCTACATTTTCTGCTGTATATATATGAAAGTAGTTTTAATCTCATAAAATCGTTCTGTTTGTAAACCAATGTTCTGTATTTGTATTCATTTATGTAAAACTTGTATCTGTGGGTGTGCCTGGTTCCACCAACTGTTATTGTAAACTGTAGTGTAATACTGTAAATTGTATCTTGTAAAACTAGTACTTTGGAAATGTACTTAAGTTTAGTTAATTATACACTA